CTTGGTAGACTCTATTTCTGCCAGAAGAAGAGCCAACAGGCCCTCACTTGCTTCGAGCAGGCTAGTTGCACTTGTCGTTTTGAATTTATGTCACAAAAGATCCATATTGGTGCTTTATGCATGCCACCTCAGTCAGGACTTCGGAACATTCACTATGCTGTTACAGGCGCAGGTATAGAATTTTCTCGAGGGAGTGGCAACCTTTCCTTTTCAAAAAATTTTTCATTTGTGACTTTTTTACTTGTTGAGTAAATTCGTTTTCCAAGCTCCTCCAAAAACAATTTATAGACCTTATTATGAAAGGAAATTATTTGAAAATTGGCAGTTTTTGAAAATGTATTTGGGAGTTTTTGAAATTATTTTGACCACAAATGCTTATTTTTCCAGCGCAATCTCCTCACTCGTATTATTGTTTCGACTATTGAAGAAACTTACTATTGAATCTTTGTGCACGGGATGGTTTTTCTACCGACAGATTTTGACATCTTAACCAGCAAGTTTTGACCAATTTTTCTACATCATTTGAAAAGTATTGTTGTCCTGCGCCCAAATTCAAAATCATATTTCATTTGTGATCAAATTTTGAAAAGATATGGGGGTTTAATTGTTTCCATTTTGACCAATTTGGGTCAACTAACGCGCGATATATTTCGTGCTAATAACACGTAAGAGGATATTTAGTCCGTCTAAGAAATTGTTTCAAAGTTAGTGAGGAATGCTATTTGAGGAATTCTATTTATTAATTTTTTGTGAGCGAACTAAATCACCTTGTATTTTATAAAGCGTGTGGGGAAAGATTTTGAAAAAAATCTCAAGAAAAATTTAACGTTTTTTCATTCTTTCGAACAATTTATTTATTTTTTATAAACTATATGAGCAGTCTTGGTTTATATGAAAAGGGTCGAAAGTGTTGCTTCTGCTGTAAAGAGGGGTGACCTTATTGTTCCGACTTAAGAAGAAAGTGTGGAATAATTATGTTTGTGTTTTTTTTACTAAGATTTTCCGTCAACGTTTACACTGAACAATTTTGACAAACTTTTTAAAATCATCTGAAAGATTTTATTTTTTTTGGCTCAAACTTAAAAACGTAGATCACTTACAAAACCATTTTTTTTAAAAAAACTTTTACGTCAATTTTTCAAAGAAAAAACCTTTTAATTTGGTCTGAAATTGCAGTCGGATTTTACAAATGTTTGTCGTGATGTTTGAGCCGTCTTTTATAGTTTTTTGATCGTTCAAAATATTTGAGATTGAGCATTCTCTTTTGAGACTTAGAGAGCAATGAGTTATACTGCAGAAGCTAATGAACATCTTGACAATTGGTCCCAAGCGACAATTTCCTGATTTAGAAAGCGATCAATTGGAACAATGCAATTGAATAATCAGCATTATTGTTCTGACTTTCGAAGAAAACAGAATTTTATGCTCGGTGTAGTTTTTTTATTCATTCAATTTTCGCTGATCAAAATATTAGTTTTCAACAAAAATTTCTTATACCCCATTGAAGATATCGACTTCCTGAGTTAAAATTGAAAAAAGTATTTTATCTGCGAACATTTTTCGAAAAAATCTGAAGGTTTGAAAAAGGGCCGAATTGGCCGTTTTCTGGACTAAATTATGCGCGCTTTGAAGAAATTATTCATAATGCTGAGAGCTTAACGCAAAATAATTATACGTGGCAAATTAGCCCGCCCAAAAATCTTTTCATTGATGCTAGCTAATTGGTTGTAGTTATTTCGCACGACTCAAAAATTTGCACTTCAATATTGTCCAAAATTTATTGATTTCCATATTCTATTTTCCCAAACCCATTCGATATGAATTAAGGGACAGTCAGGGATCATCAAGGAACAGTCAGGGCTTTTCCCTGATATACGAGCAGCCTTGTTTGCTCAGCAGTTCAGCGTAACGTAGCCATAGATCAATTTATCCATCCAAAATTAAATTATCCTCACCACTAGTTATATAATGTTCATTTCCACGAGTGGCCAAAACAAAAACAAAACAAAACCACTGTCGAAAGAGCACGAATAAACAAGGGTGTAGGATAACTTTGTCTCACACCAAAGAAAATTAACTCAAAAAATATTTCATGACATTAAAGTAGTATCATCTTAATTATCTCAAAATTTTGAAAACTGATAACAGGTGAAAATATATATTTTTTCAGTTTGAGCTCAGAAAAACAATATCGCTTAGATGTCATAAAAATCTTCCATTAAGAATGCTTAGTCTAAAAATCTAAAATTGACTCAAAAAAGACACCCTAAGCATAATTGTTTTGCAAATTCTTTGTAAGAAGATTTCAAAAATGATTCCGACATAGCGAGTAAGTCGAGTTTGTTGAATAGTTCCAGTTTTCATGCTATATTTGAGTTGGGAGTGAATAATAAACTTATCAACTGATTCACTCTTTAGAATTTTTTTTGATTGCAACCATATTTTTTTAAAGTATACAAGAAAAAAGACAAAAAATTGAAAAAATTATCTCGATCCGGCGTCAAAAAAAGGGTAAATAATTCTGAGTAATTCTGCACTTTTGATCGAAATAAGCCAACAAAAGGACTATTCTAGGAATCATCTCGGAACATTAGTGCTCTGATCTACGCTGTTCCCATAAGCTTTTTTGTGGTCCCTAAAGTTGTGCACTTTTCTGGCATAGGTGCCCACGAACTTTAATGTCTGTACCGTCAAATAAGATACGACCGTTTTTTGACGCTGCCCCAAGTAAAACTATCAATTCTCGTCGGTCGTTTTTCCAAGGCATAAAGAGCTAGTCGATTTCATCAGCTTAGAGTAAAGCCAATTTGGCCCCCGCGTTCAAAATCCACGCGCTGTTTGCGAGGTTGATTCAAAACTAAGAACACCTTCAAAATTAGTTATGATCTACTGGCTAGTTACAGTTAATAATAAAATTTCTCAAATTTGGATCCAGCTAGCTCCTTTTGAAAACTTTTTTCTCTAATTTTCAAATCTATATCTGAAAAAGTTGCTGAGAAAATCATGAAGACGGCAAAAAAATGCTCATTGCTTGTTGAAACCGAAATTGTGCAATATCTATGTCTCGTGACAGGTTTGGTTTTGTTCCAGGTGGCCGAAATGACAAGCAAAATCTACGGGGATGACGCGGATGAACTGATAAGTGTGTACACAGACATGGGCAAGGCAGAACAGATGGGGGCAGGGGGAGGAGGAGGGGTGGGGGCCGAGGAGACTTCTTCGTCTCACTCCCACGAGAAGGCCATCGAACATTTCTTACACGCACACTCCATAGCCTCCGCAAAGTCAGCCGTAGTTTTATCCTAATAATAAGTCTAATTAGAGCAACACAGGAAACAGACATAAGAACGGCCGCTTTTGCCGACAAGACCGACAAGAAATCTTGATTAACTTCATTACTTAGGTAAACTTTGACAACACTTAAAGAAAGTTAAATGAGCGCCAAACAAAATGCGCTTGTAAGGTGGAGAAAGCTTCCAAAAATTGCAGCCTAAAACAAACACTCAAGTGAAGCTTTGTTTTGAGACAATCAGGAGCTAGAAAACCAAATGGTTTGCATGAAAATCTGTTAAGCAATGCAACGGAGACCCCCTCACCCTGTAAATCCTAAGTATCTCAGCCAACATCCCGCCTCTTCCTCGGGACGATGCTGACTATAGGATCAATACGCTTTAAGTCACATCGTCAAGAGTTCGGCTCTAAATTTCTTTGTTCTCGCCAACTGAAAAGAAGGTTGTAACTGACTTGAATTTCACTTTAGTTTTTACTTGACCGCACCCAGTTTCAAGAGATAACAATCGATTATAGTATGATTTTAGTAGCTGTCTTAGTGAAAATTCATAAAAAGCTATTATAATCAATTATTAATCGATTATAATCTCTTGAAATCCGTATTAAATTATTCTACATTTCAGTAAAATTATAATCAATTATAATCGATTATTTTATAAGATATATTTCAAGCGATTATAATAGATTTTTGTACTTGTAGAATTTCGAAATTTCGAATATCGGAAAATTTCAAATTTTACATGTCAAAAAAATAAAAAACCGAAGAAAGCATGAAATGAATGTGCTAGAAATTGAGCGTATACAAGCATGAGTCATACCAATTAAATATGGCCGCCCCCATATAATTGTGAAAATATCATCATAATAATCCATTATAATCGATTACTTACGCCTAAACTTCGATGCGGGTGCTTTCAGTCATCCTGGCTCGTCATCAGAAACAGCCAAAACAGCCGAAGTAGTAGCCAATGGATACCTCACCATGGCTATGTCTTCTGCAAAGCCCGCTTTGACCCCGGATGCAGTTGAAGATGCGCTACGCTCTTCCGAAACATACTTCACAGAAGCGGCTGATATTTTCCTCCTAGAAAAAGGTGCTGCTCAGATACAATACATTGAGTTTAATTTCAGGAAAAGCATCTTCGTATTAAACAAAAATCAATAATACAACTCAGGGGCGGTCCAGGATTTTCTCGAGGGGGGGGGGGGGGGCGGATTTTCGAAATTTTTCGAAAATTTTGTCGACCTTTTTTTTTAAATTAGCTTTTTTATATGACTTTTCGAGCTCTCTCAAAGCACTGTTTTGTCCCTATTTCGGCCAAATTTTCTGCGCCGCATGCAAAATTTGAAAAAACAGTCCAATAAAGGCGCCTATAGGCAGCTTTTGGAAAATTTTGACCAAAAAATTGCGTTTTTTCGGCGCGCGCTGCCCCCTCAAAATTAGTACATATTGGCGCCCAAGGCGCCTTCAAAAAATTTTCAAGGTCCATCACCCAAAATGGATATTGGAAAATAGTACAAAGGGGGACTCTTTTGGTCGGCAGGGGGTCGCATCCCTGAAGGAAGCGTTCGCCCCCATCCCCCTTCCCCCCTAAATCCGCCCCTGGTACAACTCTTTATACATACGTTAATGGTAAATTGACTTACAATCCTAAAGAGCAGAGACTGTTTTTGATGATGGACGCTTTCCCCGACTCAAGGTTTCGATCTCCTCAGCTCAGATCATCCTAAAAGGTCCATCTTCCTTTACTTAAGTTTTGCTTCTTCAGTATAATTCAAAAAACTGTAACTTTGGCGCATTTCTCGATGTAAATGCAGAATAATGGTTTGAGCGAAATAAGGTTTTTTGGCATTTTAAGACCTCAAACGACCTAAAAACGAAGTTCGATTAGGCAATTCTTTCCAATAAAAATGCAAACTTCGAACTCATTGCCTATCTATCTACTGACTTTGAAAATAAAGGTATCAATCACCCGGACACCATACGAGTAACAGAACAGCTGGCAAAGATAAACATCAAACTGAAAGACTTCGAGGCTGCCAAAAAGTACGCCAAAACAGTGCTGGAGAGCAAAATTGAGGTGTACGGAGATATGAGTGATGAGACAGCTACCTCGCAACAGACACTAGGGACTATTTGTCTTTCGCAGGCGAATTTTGAGGAGGCGCACAAGTTGCTGAAGAAGGTATTCAAATAAATTTTGGAAATTTTTCACATGCTCTTTTCTTGCTGTATCGGTTCCCTAATGGGGCGAAAGTTCTAAGCAACTAACAAACTGAGCAGTCTACGAAAAAATCTATTTAGGACAGTCTTCATCAAAAACAACTTCGGGTTGTGTGAGGAAAAGTGTTTGTTTTTTTGCGCTGGCGATTCAAAATAATTGTAAATTGCTGCCCAAATGGCAAGTAAAGTTTTAAAACATTAAAAAGTGCCATCAAATCGAGATTGGCAAAAACTAAAAAGAAGTGAACTCCTCCTCCAGTTTTACGCTTTGATTTCTACGGCTCTTCGACAACGTCCCCCTCCCATTGCAAAAGGAATAAACTTGTTACTAGGCGCAAAATGCTTGAATGTTTGTAGGGGTGGATATTCTAACCGGGTTTTAACAGTTTTTTTTACTGGATCTTCGTTACTGGGTGATTCAGGTCCTGTTTTTTTCCAGGCGCAGCACACCTTGACTCAACTTCTGGGACCAAATGCGAAACGGGTGAAAGACATCGAGAAAATGATAGTCATCATTGAACAGTAAGAAAAAAATGTTTTAAATTGACCAAATAACTCATTGGCTCAAGAATTAAATCAAAACCTACAAAGAATCTCGTACTAAAGTCGCCCAATTCTACTTCGCACAAATCTTCACAACGTAGTTAGCATTTTACGTTTTTGGGGTTAACCTTGTGTTTGCGGATGTCTGTAACCGGCTAAAACATAAGAGAATATTCAATTGATTTTTCCTTTTTATAAAAAACGTTGGCGCTAAACGGAATTGAATTTTTTTCATTCATATTCAGAAACATCTGATATAAGGACATGTTTGATTGCTTCTCATTGGTTTAGATCTCCGCAAATGAGAGACAAACTATCAAAAGAAAAACACCTTCACAACAGACCAGCATTTTCTAACAACTTCAAAGTCAAGTAATTTAAACTTAAACTCGTATCTATTAAATTTATCTGACTAGTTTTCCAATTTGTAAATTATATGTTTGAAATTTAGTTTCAATAAAAGTTTACTGAGGTTCAATTTAAGAAACTAATTAACTTAATTTTGGAGCAGGTGCGGATTTAGAGCGATGCACTTAATAGACTTTTTAAGTCGACTAGATGGGTTTTCTGAGATCTCTCAAAAAGGGTAAGGATCCTAGTTCTTCAAAAAAAATTGATCAAAAACTTGACTAAAAGCACCAATTATTGGACCGTTTCCTCTCAGTTACAAAGGATTTTGTATGTTTTGAAGGGGTCTGGTCATTTTGGTCCTTTAGATTGGTCCACTAGATTTAAGCGAATAAGACTCTTTGGCTGATGAGACAGGGAATTCCTGAAAAAGGGTTCAAGCCTTCCTGAACTTGCCAGTGGTTTGGTGTACCAAGTTTTTGATGTAGCGGATACCAAATTAGTATTCAGTGGGATGTTTTGTTCAAATTTTCATCCGTGGCATATGTATGTGCCATTTACAAAATACCAACTCAATTTGAAACATACTTTGCAGGGATTTTATCAAAATGGCTAATTGACGATAACAATGAATGTTTTAAACAGACACAAAGTTCAAGGCTTGCTGCCAGGAATATTCAGCAGTCTAGCTAAATGAGTTATAACCGAGGTGGTTATCTCATAGAGTAATTTCGGATAGGGTACACCGTCTGCTCGTCACGCTATCTTATTTTCGGCCGGATAGATTCGTGCAACTTCTTAGTCTAATACCGATCCTAATCTTACTCTTATACTATCTAGTCTCAGGGTGTTTAACTAGTCTCTGCTAGGCTCAATAGATCTAGGGTATACTGGTTTATTGCGGCTGCTGAAGTCTTCTTGGAGAGTCAACTAATTTCTAAGTTAAATTCAAATCTCTCTGGTGCTGAAATTACAAGTAATTCCAGCACTTACAAATAAGTGGGTTGGTAGTTAGATGGATCATGATTGGTTAATATTAAATACTTTACAGTGGTAAAATATCTAATTTATCCAATCATAAAATGTAGTTTAGATCAGGTTCCACCCATCCGGGTTTTACAGAGTTTTTTAGAATAGTCTTTCTGCAATTCAAAAGATGGATGATGGACGTTGGTATTTGGCGAACATCATATTTCGTCTGGGTTCCCTTGTTAGAGAAGTTCCAGATTCAGTCGTTGTGTCTTCTTATGACAACGACTGGGTTTTCGCAACAAACTCAAATCTGATTTCAGAATGGTTTGCTATGACAGGTTTTTTCGTTTCATGTAGAGAACTTCTTTGTGTTTGACCTTGTCTGGGAATGGCGTGGAGATTGTGCGTGGAGGGGATGCCTGGTTACTCGGATCTGTACGTATACTTGAACATCGAGGTGGTCATTGGTCTATTTCAATGAAGTCCTTTTCTGCGAAGTCAAGTCGTACTCTAAATCCTTTGAGTTGTGATTGTGGGCGGCATATTGATTGTGGTTGGCCATTCTTTTTCGAGTGTAGTGGGGTCATTTTGTCTTTGGATGTTCGTCTTTGGTGTTGTATGCTGATCTATATATACTGCAAGGTATAATTTACATTTTATAAAATTTTTATTAATTTGGTGTTTTAATTATGATTTTGGTTAGTTGTTTTCACAAAAGCTTTTTGTTTTAGTTCGGTTATTTTGAAGAGTTACTCACCCTTGAGTACCTCTTATTAAAAATAGGAGTGTGGTTACAAAGCGTGGATGTAGCGCGGTGGGTTAGGCCGGCTATAGAGCATGCTGAGGACGTCCTCTCTGGTGGGTTAGGCCAGGAGTGGGAGTATGATTTCGTGCGGTTTCTGTGAGAAGTCCTGTTATGTGATAACGTTTTATGTTGGGTTTATTGTGGTTTTTCTTATGTTTCGTTGGTTGTGTCCTTTTTTCAAAAATCAAATTATTTTTGGTATGGGTTTGTCTTTCGACTTTTTTGTGTTTTATTATTTCTTTCTTAGACTTTATAATGGTCTTCAAAAGAATAAATTATCCAGTTTTAAACTGGGTTAATCCGGTTTGGGTACCGTTAGTTTCCTTTTCTTAGTCATGCTGTTATTCTATGTGTTGTGGTGTTTAGTAAGCTGCATTGGTTAGTTTTGTTTAGTATATAATTTCTTTCCAACCGGGTTAAAGGAAAGTTTGAAACTTGTTATCGTGTGTTAGAGTTGTTGAGTGTGAAAGCTTGAAACTGAAATTCATTATTTAAACAATTCTTCGTGGGCGAGCTGTGCGAGTTTGGATAGAATTCTTGTGCGAGTGAATGAAAATATCAAAAATTTAGTACTGCATTTGCGTTTTATTAATTTACTACATAGAATTTCAATTTTATTGCTTGTTTTGGGAAAAATTTAATTTACAAATTTTCATCATTATTAGAATTACTGCTGTTAGGGAAATAATTTATAAATTAATTTATTACATTTGTATGAATTTTATTTAATTTAGCTGGTGCAAAAGATTATTAGAGTTTGGGACAATTTGAAGAAGTTTTCTATTTTTTATTTTTCTTTTGTGTATTTTGCAGATGATCGTGAGATGAAGACTAAAAATCTAAATAAAACATGGATAAAGAATGGTTAGTGTTTTATTTTAAATTTATTAGTATATGTATAAATTATACTTACCTGTTAGTCGTCGGGGAAAAAACCGTGGGGGAAGATGTCGTGGATTATGTCGGAATTTGTTAGTAACTTTGCTAGTATGCGAATGATGTTTTTAGTTTGAAGCAGTGGCCAAAGCAATTGAAGTGCTTTAATGGTTTTTAGTTCTTCAGTGCCAACTGCAAAATCATAAGGTGTGTTTTGGATGAGATTATATAATTTGTGGTTATATTTAGTGTTGTGGATGAATTCTAATATGGGGATTTCTATAGGTTGAACAAATTCATGTGGGATAAGGAAGGGTCGGGATTCTTCTGCGTTGAAGGTCTTGGTGATGGGACAAAAAATATACATTTGGGTTATGGGATCATAATTTCGAAGAATACCATGAAGGTTAGTATCTTTAATGCAATATGTGAAGTTAAGAAAGAATGGTGAGGTGTATTTGGAATTGATGAATTGGAAACGGTGGTGTGGTTGTCTGGAGGGAGTGTGTAGGTCGAAGTGATTTTGTATAAAACGATAATATGTATATGTGTGAGTTTGTTTAGTGCGCAACATAATATCGTGTGAGCAGTGCAAATCTCTTTCATGTGGTGCAAGGAAATGAAAGGTTAGTGAAAATATTTGGAAGCGTTCTTTAAAACTTTCGTAGGCTTGCGTGTCTGTTAGTGCTTCTGAGATGATGTGGTCAAATTTGCGATCAAAGATATTGAGGGTAAATACATATGGTGTGTTAATGAAAAATTTTTCTGTAATTTGTGGGTTAGCGAAGCGGTCATCGTCTAAGAATTGATCTTGGTTAGTTCGGATGATATTATGATCGTAATATTCTAGCGTATATTCGTTAGCTCGGGGTGCAGTGTATGTTTTTAGTGATTTTTTATATCCAATGTAAGTAAATTGTCTATGTGTTAGTGGTGTAGTTAGTCGATATAGCATATCTTGATTTCGTTCTATATCGATGTGAGTATTAGATAAAGGTAGGCAAAGGGGGTTAGTAAAATGATAATATGATGTCCAATGAAGTGTAGGCATTAAAATTTGTTCATCTACAAAGCTACGTGTGTCGTTAGTATCTGTAGGGGTGTTCAAAGTATATTGTGGAAATGAAGGTAAGGTCATTGCTAAAAATTCTTTCGTGTTAGTGTGATTTGGATGATTTATATATTCACGTGCTGTTCCTGGTTTTGTTGGAAATGGATGGTTTGGGAATTTTCTTTTGAAAGTGCGGTAAGCTCTATTAGTGCTAAGAGATGATTCGGTGGATGTAGATGATGGTGCTAATGATGCGGTATAAGCTGAAGAGGGTGTAGGGGTAGGTGGGTTTGATGATTCTATTGTGGATGAAATCTGATTTATAGTGGGGTTTTCAAGGTGGAAGGGTTGTTGTTGTAAGGTGATAAAATTATCTAGTTCTTGGGAGATTTGGGGAGTATCTGGAGAATTGGATGATCGGTCTGAATGAAATGAGGAGTAGGTTGGGGTAACTTGTGAAGCATAGGATGGTGTAGAAATGGATGGGAGTGGTTGAAAAGGGGGTTTCGAAAAAACTGAGGGATTGGTTTGAAAATTATTAGATGGAGATGGTTCAGAGTCTGCAAATTCGTCAGGGGTTTCAATATCTGGGTTATTGAGTTGTGAGATGGAGTATAAAACTGAGGTGTGTGAATTAGTGTCTGAATTCATGCCTGATGTTATATTACTGGTTGGGAAATCGGGTGGTGGGAAGGCAAAAAGTGGAATTATTGTAATTGGAGTGTTGAGGTTGGTTGGGTGTGAATTTGAGCGGTGTAGGGATCCAAGTTGTCGGCTCATCGTGGGCTAAAAAAATTATTATTTTGAGACTGAAAAGCGGTGGTATGGGGTTGTTCTATAATTTGTTCATATGTATTTTCATCTAGGGGGTGGTGTGTCATTATATGTTGAATGGGACTTTGTGATATGGTTGGTCTAAAATTTGGATTATTTGTTATTGCTAAATTTCGAAAATTTCGTGGGACTAGTGATAATGGATGGTTATTTGGTAGTGGTGGTAACTGTGGTGCTGTAGGCGTAATGTCTACATTGTTATGTTCTTCGTCGTATGTGTTCTGTTTTGTTGCTATTTTTGTGTTGTATTCCTTTATTTGTGCATCTAAAAGAATTTTGTTTATTGATGATGAAAAAATTCCAAAAAATCCTGCAAATAGTATGCGTGCTACACTTGCTTGTCTATTTACTTGTGTGTGTATAGCGCATGTATTATAGATTCCTTTTAAAAGCGAAAAAAGAAATCCTATAAAGTTAAACATTGCGTATAAAATAGTCAATTTTTCTAAGATGTAGTAGGGCCATCGAGAATTTCATTTTTTAGTGTAACAAAGCTAAAAATATTTATAGGTGAAATATCTTGTGGTC